GGGGGGAGGAAGAGAAAAAAAGGGAGAAAAAGGAGTAGAAACAAAAAAAGAAGCCCGGCAGGCGCCACGAGTAGTAGAAATTCCGAGGGGAGTCCAACTTTTGGGGGCGGGGGGGGAAAGGAAGTGCACGTCACGAGATGAGACAATTGGAAGGAAAAAACAGAAAAAGAAAAAGAAAGGAAGTGCACATCAAGAGATGAGACAGAATGTAGAGGGGGAGGGGGGAGGGGGGGGCAGGAAAGAAAAAGAAAAAGAAAAGAAAAGAAGAGAGAAGAAAAGAAAGGAGATGAAACAGAATGCAAGACATGGTGTCACAGATGAAGAAGTAGGTCAAACATGTTAGGTTCGGCGAAGATACCTAGCCTCTGGTTGGGGTTGGGGGGGCAAGGTGGGGAACCCGGCAGGGTTGGAAGAGGAGAGGGGGAGGAAGAGAAGAGAGAGATTGAAAAAAAAAAAAAAAAAAGACAGAAAAAATCTGGAAAAAGAAAAAGAGGGACCACTTCCCTCGGGACATACGTAGAAATTGGAACGATACAGAGAAGAACGATTACCATGGACCCTGCGGAAGGATGGCACGCATCACTCGAGAAAAACTGCCACCCCGGCTTCCCACTTCCCAAAAAAAAAAAAAAAAAAACCAGAATAAGCAGGACGGCAATACGACCAGGACATCCAGCGGCCTATCTCAGTTGGTAAGGCACGCAAGTGGCATTCAGGGGGTCTTGGGTTCAATCCCAATTGGCCTCATGTACCTTCCTTGGCATTAAAAAGCAGTCTCTGTTGATGTTCATAGGGGGAGGGGAGGGGTAATCGGGGAGGCACGGCGACTGGCCACTCAGATTATGCTCGGTCCCTCTGCCACCGGCTGTCCCCTGGTCGGTGTCCCCCGTTGGGGGTTCCCTGAAGGCAATCAAGGCCGCCCTGGGCTGAAAAGGCCACCCGATGTCAGATTAGACACAATATTGAATTTACCTGGGCTGGCTAGTCCGATGATAATACCTCAAGGCCATCGCCCTTAAACCACCAGTACTTGGCCCAGCTATCCGCCGCGGAAAAAAATAGAGTAGAAACGTTTCTAGTTGGATGAATTTGGGCGCTCCTGTAGTGGCCCGTACGTTTCCTAAAATCGTGTAGCGTTAACGGGCACGAGTTTAGGATGTACTGGTGGTTTAAAAAAAAAAAAAAAAAAAAAACGGCTACTACTAGCGGCTTTTCCGCAGCACAGCCCACCCTCATTTTGCCTGCACCGGACCGGAAAAATAGTCCGTATACATTCGTTATCAGGGTGCTTTGTGTTCTGCGGAAGGGCAAGGGCATGTGAACAACGAAGCAGGAGAGACGCGAGGCTCAGTTAAGAGCACGTATACACACAGAAAAATAATGACAGGGGAACCTGAGGCTGGACCTGCCACGCGTAAGCCCTGAGGTTCCCTGAGGTTTAGCTGAACAGGCCCAAGCGAGCCTCAGGTTTCTCTACTAAGTAAACAGGTGCAATTTCGTGCAAGACCTCAGGAAACCAACGGCAAGCAAGACAACCAGAAAAAGAAAACACAAAAACAATCATGAGCTGCAAGAGAACCTCAGATTCAATTGCACCTGTTGGGTAGTTAAACCTCAACAGGTGTGAAACCTCAGGTTAAGCTAAACAGGTGTGAAACCTCAGGTTACGCTAAACCTCAGGCTGTTTAGCTTAACCTCAGGTTCAATTGGACCTCAGGCTGTTTAGCTTAACCTGAGGTTTCAATTACACCTGTTTAGCTAAGCAGATGTTATTGATTGGGTTTATAACTTTATAGACTATGGAGTCTAGATGGGTTACCTTCTTCATTCACCGACTACAAGGGGGGTACAGTGGTTACACCTCCCCTCGTGCGTCCCAATTGCCATCACGCGGTGCTCAGAAAAGCGTGCATAATAAAATTAAAAAAAAAAGAAAAAAAAAAAGCGCATGCATTGGAGGTTGACCGTTCATGCATAGCCTGGCCACCACAGAATGCACTGTAAGGGGGTGAATCCGTTGTAGGGGGGAGGAAAATCGGTCTTTTGGAGAAAATACGCTGTAAGACAAAGGGTGGTGGGCGAGGAAGGGGGGGGGGGGGGGGGTCTGATATGTAAGTGCTGTGTCACTGTGGGGGGTGAGTCCAGGACTGGTGGGTGGGGCACCGGGTGTTGCGGGTAGACGGTTTTACTTGTGCAATTGGCAGCAGTAGGTAAGTCTGTAGTTTGCTAAGTATACTGCAGTGGCAGGTCGCGGTGTATGTG